ACCACGAGATCAAAGAGGCTAAACCCTAGAAGCTAGCCTATGGTATGATTGTTGTTCGTCCTACGGACTAAAACCCTCCGGTTTATATAGACACCGGATAGGGTTAGGGTTACACAGAGTCGGTTACAATGGTAGGAGATCTACATATCCGTATCGCCAAGCTTGCCTACCACGCCAAGGAAAGTCCCATCTGGACACGGGACAAAGTCTTCAATCTTGTATCTTCATAGTCTTGGAGTCCGGCCGATGATGATAGTTCGGCTATCCGGACAGCCCCTAGTCCGGAACTCCCTCAGCGCCCAACTCCTACAAGCTCAGAAGAACTTGGAAACCTCAGGTAACCCCTTACCGTGTTTTACGATCCTCGATTCATTTTCGGACGAACATACGGGTGAGGTTCTGGGAGAGAGCGTGGTGGAACCGATGGGCGAAGGTGGGGTGACCGAGCTCATCTCGTTGATTCGTGCTAAGGAGCAGGCGCAGGCAGCGCTGGCAGCGGCGGCTGCTCAACACGCGGAACACCTGGCACTGGAGGCTGAATCCTCGCAGGAGCTAGCGATCCAGCCCGAAGGGGATACAACAACAGGGGTTGCCGTTCCTCCCTCGCCTCGCTGCGGCAAGGTGAGGCGCGTGGACAAGGCGATCACCTCCAGGGGGTTGCGCCTTCGTAATAGTGTCATATAGATGCGGGCGCTCATTTGGAACATTCGTGGCTTCGGTCACGCGGGACGGTGCACCCAATTGAAGGACTACATTAGGAAAGAGTCGATAGATATCGTAGGGCTCCAGGAAACGATCAAATCAGAGCTACGACATCAGGACATCCTTGCGATTGACCCCTTAGAGCGCTTTGTTTGGCATCATAGCCCAGTGCACGGCCACTCGGGTGGCATGTTGCTGGGTTTTTGTGGTGCCACTTATGAGGTACTGACCTGGGAGGTTGGTACTTTCTTTCTTGCGGCCAGAATCCGTGTGCGAGTGTTGCTTCGCGAGCTCGCGATCGTGCAAGTCTATGGACCAGCCGATCACTCCCGTTCGGCTGAGTTCTTGGGAGAACTGGAAGCCAAGGTGCTGGATCTTGCTGCTACGCAGATCCCGCTCATGGTGGGAGGCGATTTTAACCTGATTCGTTCGGGCGCAGATAAAAACAATGACAACATTAACTGGTCAAGGGTGGCCATGTTCAACAACGCGATTGCGTCTATGGCACTTAGGGAAGTGGCCAGAACTGGGGCGATATTTACTTGGACTAACAAGCAACTCGCCCCGGTGCGATCTGTCCTGGATCGTGCCTTCATGTCTCCGACTGGGAAGTGGTGTTCCCATTGTGCTTGCTCCTTGCAGAAACAAGGATCGGTTCGGATCATGTACCTCTCATTCTATCTTCCGGGGAAGATAGAATCCAACGTAGCCCGCGCTTCTTTTTCGAAACCGCCTGGTTTGAGGTCCCAGAATTTGATGCCATCTTTAGGGAGAGATGGTTGCGGTGTGTCCAACTCGCTGGCCAGCAACGCGGCCCGATGGAGTTTTGGACCGCGGTGGGGGCCCGCCTCCGCACTAGCCTAAAGGGGTGGGGCGCGAAACAGGGGCGCGACGACAAGTTCCTCAGGGCAAAGGTGATGGACGAAATCGCCCTCCTAGATGTCCAGGCGGACTCGTGACCATTTTCTGAGCAAGAATGGGCGCAACGCTACGCCTTGGAGGGACAAGTCGAAGCGCTGCTGCGGGCCGAGGAGGAATACTGGAGGCGTTGAGGAGGCCTCAAGTGGGCGCTCAAAGGGGATGCGAACACTAAGTATTTCCAAGCATATGCGAACGGCCGACGCAGGAAATGCTCAATCCTTAGGCTGCAGTCGGAGCAGGGGCTGCTGCTGCAGCAATCGGAGATCTCCCGCCACATCTATGACTTCTATATGAGTCTGATGGGTACGGAAGAGGCACAATGCGCGCGTTTGCGTGAGGATGTGTGGCTTCCATCTCAACGGGTGTTAGATAGTGAGAACGAGGAGCTGGGGCTTGCGTTCCTCCCTAAGGAAATCGATGGCGCCCTGCTCAGCATGAAATCCGACACGGCCCCTGGCCCGGACGGGTGGCCGGTGGCGATGTTCAAGCTCTTTTGGCCACTGCTACGTGGCCCTAGTTTTGATGTGTGCAACGGTTTTATGCGTGGCTTTATGGACATAGCTAGGCTTAACTATGGAGTGCTCTCGCTAATTCCGAAATTGCCTGGCACGGACAACATCCGTCAGTTCAGACCCATTGCACTCATTAATGTTCCATTCAAAATATGCGCTAAAGGCTGTGCCACTAGACTCTCGCCGATCGCTCATCGCATTATTAGTCGCTCGCAGTCGGCGTTTATTCGCGGTAGGAACATTCTTGAGGGTCCGTTAGCCTTGCAAGAGACCCTGCACTAGCTTAGACGCACACACGAACCGTCCATCCTCTTGAAACTTGATTTCGAGAAAGCTTATGACCGCGTCAACTGGGATTTCCTCCAGCAAGTCCTCTCCAGTAGGGGTTTCTCGCCAGTATGGGTCCATCGAGTCTTGCAATTGGTCTCGGGGGGCCAAACCGCGGTCTCGGTTAACGGAGAAGTAGGGAACTTCTTCAGGAACAAGCGTGGATTGCGCCAAGGCGACCCCATGTCACTGCTCTTGTTCAACTTCGTCGCCGACGCGCTGGCCGCCATGTTGCGAAAAGCCGCGGAGGCTGGTCACATAAAAGGGGTGCTGGGACACCTCATCCCAGGGGGGATATCCCACTTGCAATACGCGGACGATACACTTTTATTGTTCCAACCGGACCTGCATAGCATTGCTACGGTCAAAGCCCTGCTCATTAGCTTCGAACTCATGTCGGGCCTTAAAATTAATTTCCACAAGTGCGAAGTGATGTCTATGGGCATGGACGTGCAGGATAGTAGGCACGTTGCGGACTTGCTGAACTGCAAGTTAGGCAAACTCCCGTTTACGTACTTGGGTCTTCCGTTAGACGGCAAGCGTATCACAATCGACGGCTGGGCTCCGCTTTTGACAAAGGTGGGAGGGCGGGTGTGCCCGTGGAGGGGAAAGTTCCTTTCCTCCGCGGCTAGGTTGATTCTCACGAATTCAAGCCTCTCCTCGCTGCCGCAATTCGCTATGGGGCTTTTCCTCTTGGCAGAAGGGGTTCATGCCAAGATGGACACACCGCGGTCTCGTTTCTTTTGGGAAGGAGCGGGCCCCAAGCGCAAATACCACATGGTTCGATGGGATGCGGTGTGCCGCCCGAAGGCCCGGGGAGGGCTAGGGATCACGAACACCAGAATCCTCAACATCACGCTAATGTGTAAGTGGATTTGGAAGCTGTCGTAGGGGGCGACGGGCCTGTGGGTGGATCTACTCCGTTCTAAGTATTTCCCATCTGGGAATTTTTTCGAAGGAGTGGCGAGAGGCTCCCCCTTGTGGAATTACCTCCAAGCGGTGCGGCCGGCCTTCGCCATGGGAGCCAAGTTCTCCATCGGCAACGGTCGTTCGACCCGGTTTTTGTTGGATCACTGGGTGGGATCCCAACCCCTTTGGTCGGAATTCCATGATCTATACGTACAGGCGGTCAACCCGGAGATGAGCGTTGCTTCGGCACTTGCCTCCTCACCACCAGCGATTTGCTTCCGGCGCGAGCTATCGGGTACCGAACAAGCTCACCTAGCGGAGTTGCTTAGTCTCATCGCGCCGGTGTCGCTCTCCTCGTCCGAGGACACCGTGCAGTGGTCTCTGACCCCTTCCGGCAAGTTTTCGGTCAAATCTTTGTACCGGAAGTTGTGCCAGAGCCAGGCCTGCCTTGTGCCGAAGGGTTTATGGACTGCTCGCCTCTCGCTTAAGATTAAAGTGTTCTTCTGGCAGCTGTTTCGCAACAGACTGCCCACCTCGGCTAACGTGGCCAAACGCAACGGCCCGTCGTCTGGTTTATGTGCGGTTTGTAATATCGCGGAGGATATGAACCACGTTTTCTTCCGCTGCCCGTTAGCTTGCTTTGCTTGGAGCGCGGTCCGCGCTGCAGCTAACACCTCCTGGAACCCGCATTCTGTCACTGATCTAGCGGCCATCGTCGTGGCTACTAAAGGTGGCAACAACCGCATGCTTTGGAGCTGTCTCGGAGCCTTGGCTTGGTCTCTTTGGCTAACCAGGAACAAACTAGCGATCGAGGGAATCTTCCCTACGCACCCGGCTAACATCATCTATAAATGCAACCTTTTCTTGCAGCAGTGGAGTCCGTTGGCGAGGCGCAAGGATGCTGAGAAACTGAAGCATGCCCAAGACCGTCTGCGTCACGTCTACGTTTTGGCTAGGGAGCCTCTCGCCACTTCCCCGACTGGTAGTGGCCCTTTTGCCCCGCGATCGAGCGAGCCTGCGTGCTGTAAGCTCTGGCTTCGAGCCATGTAATCGTTTCGATGCGAACTTCGTTTGGTCCGGTCCTAAACTGCCGTGAACTCTGTGTTGGTGCCGGCCTTGAGCCTCCGTGCTCGTCCGTATGTTTTGAGTCTGTCTGATACGCTGCCTAGTTGTGGGCTTTATTAATTTAAAGCCGGACGCGTCCAGCGTCTTCGTTTAAAAAAATAGCATAAAAGATGAAAAATAATGATATTGCTAAAATCTTAGCAAGAAGAAAAGGAGACTAAAAGTGAGTAGAGGAGAAAACTTTTCTCAAGCACCTCTACATACATTCAGATTCGCCCCTCTATCTACTTCCTATGTATGCCCTAGGCTTGAACAAGGAACTGATCCCCTTCTCCGGGGCCTGTTTTGTGATAATCTCTTTGAAGGATCAAATCGAATCTCAATTAAGAACCATGATCAGAAAATATTTCAACCTCCTTCCGTATCTCCTTGGGCCATGCTGTCTGTGGTTGAGTTCGTTTCCAGAAAAACCCAACCGAAAGCGATAAATTCCGAACACTCTGCTCAGGAGTCAGGATTCGGCTACTGCAGTCGCCTGATTATGCAAACAACATCCCACGGGAATCACGGCGCCGGAAGCGGCAGCGGCAGGAGGAAGGGCGGGAGGAGAGGCGCCCGGCAGAGCGGGCAGGTGCTGTGGCCATGTGCGGCCCAGCGGTCGAGGCAGGCGCGGTGGAACACGTGCCTGCACCCGCGCGGCCGGCGCACGTGCGCGGCGCCGTGGAAGTTGCCGAGGCACACCGCACACCCCTCCGGCAGCAGCAGAGCTACGTCTCCAGCGCCGGAGAGCGCGTCGAAGCGCATGGCTGGGGAATGCTTCTCCAGCTCCTCGATGCAGCGTTCTTCATAATCATCGTACTGCTCCCGGTGATGGCGGTGGTAGTCGGTGATGCCGGAGGTAGTGGGGTGGTCAAAGCTGAGATCGTCGTCGACGCCAGCGCCGACGAGGCGGAGCAGCCAGGAGGAGAGGCGGCGGTGGCGGGCGAGCAGGAAGACGAAGTTGAGAAGCAACCTGGGCACCTCGCACTCTGAGAACACCGGCGCCGGGAACCCCATTAGCTAGCTGATCCCAATCGTCGGAGCAGAAGATGAAGAATTATTTGGCAGTTTTGCAGCCCAATCGAGCAGAGTTAGAGAAAGCGGAGTGGTCTAACATGGCACACAAAGCTACCTCCGGCCAGCCTTTATAAGGAGAGCTAAAGCTGGACAGAGGAAGGAGAAGAGCTTTGTGAGCTACATGATGGGGGTTGCATGATGGCGACGGAGACGTACTGCAGTGTGCAGTGCAGTGGACAAACACAGGCTAACTGTACCGCGAGCATAATTAATTATGAAGGTTGTGAGTCGATGATCGAGATTAATGCCTGGTTAATGGTTAGTTGGGTGGTGGGGTGAGTCTTGTTGGCAAACTCACGGACCGAAAGGAGCCGCTACCGGCCCGACTCACCCGTTACTCCTCCTTTAACCGAATGTACCCGCCTATACTAGCCATAGTGAAATAACTTCAAGAGTAGCATACAGGCGCCGCTAGGCATCAGACTACTGGTAAGATACATCCATCAGACTAGTCCTGCACCATCGGATTAGAAGTAACATGGACGGCCGATGTGCTGCGCGCCTGGTGATGCCTGCTGGTAATTAAAAGGAATGCCCGGACAGTTTGTTTGGATACACACAAATACTGATTTCTTTCCATAACTGTTTCCGTAAATCACGCCATCTAATTCTTAACCATATTTCCCCCAAAAATGCTAGACACACGGGCAAAACCAACGGACCTTTACGAATGAGCTGACTTGTCATTTTCTAATTTGGCTAAATAACCCCCTCCTAATTAATCTGGCCCCCCTGATTTTAACTGGTGGGGGTGGGCGCCAAGGCCCGTAAAACCCCGTAATCCTCCGTTTATGTAGCAAAGCCGTATTTCTCCGGATTAGCTCCCAATTTAAGCTCTTGTTTAGCAGGCGGACCTCTTCCTTAGAAAGCAAATATTGTTTCCATTATTATTTAAATGTGCTTCCTTATATTAACATAAAAGATTTTCCAATGTTATCCAAATACGTTGCTTCCATGGTGAAATAAACTGCTTCCGTCTACATGTGAATTGACTTCGTGAATTAAAGTTGCTACAATTTGAATGCAATATATATGTACTTATATGTCGAGACTTTTTTGCTTCAAAAATATCAAATAAATATCTCCATCGGCTAGATAATTGCTCTAACCAGATAAGATCATTCCATAGATAAGAACAATTATAATAAGTACACATGCTTCAAACACATCAAGGATACGTTTCCAAGAAATACAAATATGTTAAATTTGCTTTCATGGACAAACATAACATGGCTCCATTGTTCCAGGGAAAAACAATTTAAATTGAATACATGCTTCAGAAAAATTTCTACTACTCCTATTGCCCTCCTAATTTGCTTTTGTCCAGGATCTCACAACCCAGCCATCAAGTGTTACTTTAGGAGCAGCTCCTGAAGGCGAGCATTATCTTGGAGCCAGTGATATACTACGAGCAGCACATCAGTCTACTTCCGCCGGCTCAAAGAAGTCATTCGTCGCTGCGGTGGTGCTTCAAATGGCAGTAAAAGCTTCCAACACTATCCAAATCACCAATCAATTGCTTGAAGCAAACATCATTCCAATTGACATAATAAAATGTTTGATTGGAAGTACATAATCAAGATATGATCTGTGAACTAGTGTGGAGGAGCAGTTGTATGACAGAAGCATACAATTTGGCATTTGGAAGCAAAATAAAGTAGGGTGGAAACATATAATTACACACACTAGCAAATGGCTTGGCGATCATGTCGTCTTGATTTTGTCAAGTCTGGAAGCATATTGTTAGAACAACGTTGGAGAGAGGCCTGAGGAGGGGTACGGAATGACAATGAATATGCAAGCACAACAAAACGAAATATACATGCATAACTACTGTAGTGAAAATGCTAAATTACACAATGAGACCATCGCAAGAAACAAAATCACATAACTGATGAGAACTATAATGAAACATGTTTGCTTTGGAAATAAAAATATATCATGCACTAGAAAAAAAGTACTAAATTAAGAAGCATGATTGTAGTTAATTATATCTGCACGTATCTAAGAAACATGGAAGATGCACCTAGGAAGTGTGGATGCTCTGAAGAAAATGATATGCACATCTTTACACCTAGGGAACATGGCAAGACACTGAAGTTCCATAGCATGGAAGATGCATGTGTACATAAGAATCATGCTATGAAGAAATAACAATTATTCACACCTAGGAAAGTATGCCAGGAGATTGAAATTCCATCGGTACATATGAAGCATGGAAGAATCATATGTACACAGGAAACTCCTTGGAAGCATGTCACTACAATATCATCTGGAAAACGTACATAAAAAAGAAGCATATATGATAAGCAATGGAAGCATAACTAGGAATGGAAAAGAAGTATGGAAGCATGTCACAACTTGGCAGAAAACAGGTAATCCATATGAGATGACGGATTGAAGCATTTTTCTAGCTGCCCGTAGCATAATTAGTACAAAGTCGAAGCACACTGGTACGAAGCTAGAAAAAAAAATACAGAGGATGCATTATCAGTGCGAGGTGGAAGCATCAACTTTGGGAGCATATAAAAAAGCATGGAAGCATAACTTATGTTGAGGAGATTAGTTGAAGCTCTATCAAAACAACAAAGGAGCACAAAGTATATGCCACCGAAGCATAGGAACACAAAGGGCAGCCCGGTCAACTGGCCTGCGGCTTATCGGCTCTTCAGCATACACTCATGCTTCAAATTGCTTAATTACCCCCGGGTCAACTGAAAAGATAAGACATGAAAGCATGTTACAGGAACAATTAAAATTTCTGTACACAGAAACCATGTAAGCAAATGCAGTGTCATATTTGAAGTTTGAGTTGCGCTGGTCGGACGAAAATATGCTATACATAATATACATACTACCTCTCTCTCAGTTTACAGGGCGTGCGCGTACCCCTAGGTCGTCAATTTGACCAACCTAATACAAGTCATATACTACAAAAAATATACCAACATAAACTTCGGAGTTTCTACTTTCAAAAGATATAATTTTTGTGATATGTAATTTATATTAGGGTGATAAATTGACAACCTAGGTATACGGGCAGGACTTGTAAATTGAAACGGAGGTAGTAGAAGATATGATATGCATATGGGTCAAAACTGAAGCATACAACAATGGATATTGAAGCAAAACTGCAAATTGTTGGCCAGCAAGGGACGGACGTTTTGTCTCTCCAACATAGATTGATCTATATTATATTGTTTTTGGCATTTGGAAGCAAAAAAATTACAGTCTAGAAGCATCTGTATAGAATTATAAATTGTACAAAACTAAGAAGCACATACATACTATTGTGGAGACAGATCTAAACTTAGACGGAAACAGCCAAATTTTGAAATCAAGTCGAACAGAAATATAGGGCCAATATTGGGAATTAAGAATCAGATCATTGTGGTCTACATAGGAAATTAACCGAAATTCATAGATGAAGCTGGGTGGGGGCAAGAAATAAAAAGATGACCTCCTCAGATCTGTTCACACCCCTACACCAATATCCAGCGCCTCCGTCTCGCCCTGCACCAAGTTGTGGTTTGGCGAAGCGCCTCCGTCTCGCCCTGCACCAAGATGTGGTTTGGAGAAGCAGGGGGGCGGAGCTGGCCGGTGGGGTGGTCGTGATGCTCACTTGATAGACGGCGAGGAGAACATGAAGGTAGCTGCGGGGGTTGGGGAGGGGATCTGGACGTGGTGGCTCCGGGCTGTGCGCGCGAGGTGGAAGAGCTCATCAGGTTGATGGAGATGCGATTGGAAACGAGAGAATTAGGGAGAGATTCACGAGGGGGTTGCGGGTGGTTTCTGGCGGGTGTTTTTTTTT